AGCCCTCTCCCTCGTCCAAAGATGTGGATACAGGACAACCGCTCCATACAGGAACATAGTACAAGGTGAAACTGTGTTCCCAAGGTTATTTCCTGCTATTACAACTCTTTACAGAATACATTTCAGTAAGGTAAATCGGAAACTAAAACAGCGTCAAAAATAAACACCTGCCACCAGCCAATGATGGAAAGACATGTCATACCAGATCTGGCTGATTGAGAATCAGCCAGATCTGGTAAACCTACTTAGACCCAAGATAATTGGAGGAGCCCTTACCTTGCATAGTCGCTCTGTTCAACTACTCAATAAATCAAGGTAGTACTAGGTGAAACTGTGTTCAAAAGGGCAATTCCTACTTTTATAACTCTTAGCTTTTTGAGAATCAGCCAAATCTGGCAAACCTACTTAGACCCATGTCCAAGAAAATTTTGTGGGCGTCGTTTCCAGAGCTCTGTCCAGTTTTCAAGACTACCTGTATAGGTGCTAGGCTGAGCTCTTTTTGAGCTTGTCTTGGACATGTGACGATCTCTAAAAGACTGCATCTTCTGGCTCGTTGGTCTAGTGTTATGATTCTCGCTCTGGGTGCGAGAGGTCCCGGGTTCGAATCCCCGACGACCCCTCTACCTTTCCTTCCAAAGTCGCTCAGATCTACTACTCAATAACGCAAGGTGGTACAAGGTGAATTCCTGTTCACAAGGGCTTTCACACCTTTTTGGACTCTTGCAGAATACATTTCAGTAAAGGTAATCGAAAACCAAAACAGGGTAAAAAATAAATACCTGCCACCAGCCTATGATGGAAAGATTTGACCATTATAGGACAGCTCTCATTGACAATCAGCCAAATCTGGTAAACCTACTTAGACCCAAGATAATTGTGAGGGCGTCGCTTCCAGACCTATGTCAAGTGTTCAAGACTGCCTTATATAGCTGCTAGGCTGAGCTCTTTTTGACCTTGTCTTGGACACGTGACCATCTCTAAAATTCTGCATCTTCTGGCTCGTTGGTCTAGGGGTATGATTCTCACTTTGGGTGCGAGAGGTCCCGGGTTCAAATCCCGGACGAGCCCTCTCCCTTTCCTTGCATAGTCGCTCAGATCAACTACTCAATAAAGCAAGGTGGTACAAGCTGAATTCCTGTTCACAAGGGCTTTCACACCATTTTGGACTCTTGCAGAATACATTTCAGTAAAGGTAATGGAAAACCACAGCAGGGTCAAAAATAAACACCAGCCACCAGCCAATGATGGAAAGATTTGACCATTACAGGACAACTCTCATTGACAATCAGCCAAATCTGGTAAACCTACTTAGACCCAAGTCCACCAGAAGTGTATGGGCATGGGCTCTAGAGCTCGGTCGAGCCTTCGAGACTGCCTGTATAGGTGCTCGTCTGAGCTCTTTTTGAGGTTGTCGTGGACATGGGACCATCTTTGAAACTCTGCATCGTGTGGCTCGTTGGTCTAGGGGTATGATTCTCGCTTAGGGTGCGAGAGGTCCCGGGTTCAAATCCCGGACGAGCCCTTTCCCTTACCTTGCATAGTCGCTCTGTTCAACTACTCAATAAATCAAGGTAGTACTCGGTGAAACTGTGTTCAAAAGGGCAATTCCTACTTTTATAACTCTTAGCTTTTTGAGAATCAGCCAAATCTGGCAAACCTACTTAGACCCATGTCCAAGAAAATTTTGTGGGCGTCGTTTCCAGAGCTCTGTCCAGTTTTCAAGACTACCTGTATAGGTGCTAGGCTGAGCTCTTTTTGAGCTTGTCTTGGACATGTGACGATCTCTAAAAGACTGCATCTTCTGGCTCGTTGGTCTAGTGTTATGATTCTCGCTCTGGGTGCGAGAGGTCCCGGGTTCGAATCCCCGACGACCCCTCTACCTTTCCTTGCAAAGTCGCTCAGATCTACTACTCAATAACGCAAGGTGGTACAAGGTGAATTCCTGTTCACAAGGGCTTTCACACCTTTTTGGACTCTTGCAGAATACATTTCAGTAAAGGTAATGGAAAACCACAGCAGGGTCAAAAATGAACACCAGCCACCAGCCAATGATGGAAAGATTTGACCATTACAGGACAGCTCTCATTGACAATCAGCCAAATCTGGTAAACCTACTTAGACCCATGTCCAACATAAGTGTATGGGCATGGGCTCTAGAGCTCGGTCGAGCCTGCCTGTATAGGTGCTCGTCTGATCTCTTTTTGAGCTTGTCGTGGACATGGGACCATCTTTGAAGGTCTGCATCATGTGGCTCGTTGGTCTAGAGGTATGATTCTCGCTTCGGGTGTGAGAGGTCCCGGGTTCAAATCCCGGACGAGCCCTCTCCCTCGTCCAAAGATGTGGATACAGGACAACCGCTCCATACAGGAACATAGTACAAGGTGAAACTGTGTTCCCAAGGTTATTTCCTGCTATTACAACTCTTTACAGAATACATTTCAGTAAGGTAAATCGGAAACTAAAACAGCGTCAAAAATAAACACCTGCCACCAGCCAATGA